CCCAATTCGGTCTGGGCCCGAGGTGGGCTTAATAGCCGGCGACTACTGTATCGACCTGGCGCCGGCACACAGAGCTCTACACAGTCATCTCCAGAGGGGCGTGACTGGTGTTTAATGGGTCCCTACCTCTATAACTGTTGCTTGTTTTGCCGCTGCGTTTATCCCTATCAGTGGACTCTTGTACGAGCTCAAAAGCTCATAAGAATTTTAAAAAAACAGACTTCTTCTTTCCTGCAAATAGTTAAGATTGTGCACGGACCCAGACAAAAACGTCTTGTTTTCTAGGCAATCAGATCGGCTAGTGGTCGGCAAACGATCCATAGAATGAAGATGTGGTTGCTGTGCTGACGGATGAGACAGCAGCTACGATCATTCGGTTTCGTGGCTGCAAGTCATGACAACAAGCCGTCAAGGAGCACTAAAGCCGGTGTCCGATAACAGTGCAAGAGAAATGGCAGCGAGGCTGGTTTACGTCTTACCCTGGCTGTCCGTCCTTCCCGGGCTCCAGGACCTCTTCGATGATCTTGAAGGGATTCTGCTGCTGGGGCCGACACTTGCAGTCAACGAGTTTGAGATTGTTATGCAACTCCTTTATAACGTAGAGCATTGTACTTGTCTCGGGCAGGGAAAGACAACAGGACGCGGTTGCAGCCTGTTGGTTTAAGATGCAATGAAAAACTGAGGCGCGTTGGTTGATAAGAAATTAGGAATCAGATTAGTGTATAATATGATATAAGCTACCAGTCCCCCTTTCAACTGGGAATAAAAAAGCTTCCTTTAGACTGTCAGCAGTAGACGGGATGCCCAAAATCAAATGGCAGGTTTAGAATACCTTGATGCTGAACTCCACGGGTACGGTGGTAGGAAGGAATTCGGAGAATGGCAGGGTAAATGTCAAGGCAAACTTCTTCAGGCAGAAGGCGATGAAGGCTAAAAAACGCAGGAGGCATATATTAGGAAAAGGAGGCACGGGAAATGAAAAGGGCAGCAATTTACTAAAACACCTTATAGTGGAACGTTCGGCTGGCTATTTGTAACGGTGGGTGTCGACCCGCAAAGCTGGAAACCGGAGTTAATGCACCCGCGATTTGTGCTGCCGTTACACTAGCAGCATTCCAACTAAACACCGGATAATCCGGTGAGAAGTTTTCCCGTTCGAAAAAGGTGCCCAGCCAATAATGCGGCCTAACTAACCAAAAAATGCGATGGTGTCAGGGTGGGACTAAAACCCAAGTCATCTGGCAAGACGATAGGTTTACACCGGCATAAGGACATTGTGGGTTGTTAAGCAGTTTAAAATTTCTATAGACTCGACGCAATATTTCTATCTCCACAAAGATCCGCGTGCATCGTGCGTCTGTACGGTTTGTTCTTCTATATGAATGCCAATGCTGTGTTATCCACGCGTGGAAGATGAACAGAAACTAGAAGTCTTTGATCATTACTGCTTGATGACCATCCTTCGAGTGAAATACATCGACTGTATCAAATGAGATAGTCCACACTCGCTGCGACAGCATCGCAAGGATTTCCCAGGCAATCCGAGAAAGACAACTGATGTGGTTTGGACACGTTCTCGACCGTCACTGCACGAGCTCAATGTTACTGCCCTCGACCCGAAACCGTTACCTAGTTAGAAGCGTCGAAGTGGGGGTCAGCTCAAAACCAAGCTTGACTCAGACCGTCAGGATATGGAAGTGGTTCTTGGACCTTCGGTATTCGGTCTCCGGCGCTGGCAAAGAGAATGGCTTGAACTGTCCGGGTCTGCTGCTGCTACGGATCGTCGCGCGTGGAGAAGCACCGACTAGCACATGATCGCAGCCGCAACAAGTAAGTACAGTTCAAAGTACATCAGCTGCATCCTCTGGAAGTAAGTTCCGGCAACGGGCAACCACTAGCCTTCTCCGGTTACTCCCTCCGAAACCGACACCTCCCAGTTGGACCACAGTAAACAAGGATTCGCATTGTGTGCCTACAATACGGTGGACGCGTGATGGTGACTTGCACGGCATCTAATGCACCCTCTTTCCTTCCTCACAACCTGGGTCCGATGGCAAGTCAAGGCCAGGACCAAGTCCAATGACACAGACAACGCTAAACAATCCGTCTATGCATGCCATAGAATAC